TTTTGCATACAATTATTTTTGTTACTTGCCTTTTTTTTTTTTTTTGTTTTTCCAAATTATGAAACTCAGGATTGGAAGTGAGAGTGAGTTGTGAAGGGAGCAAAAGAATAATTGTTGTTCAAGTCAAAATAATAGCCCTTTTAGTTCTTTCTAAGCTTTTCCTTTATTCCAGGGCAAATAAGATATTTTCAAGCCATTTTAATTATAATGACTGATTGTTAAAATCATAGGGAACAGAAAATGCCTTTGCTATTTAGGATTATCCTAGAAAATAATTGGTAGGTAGATTTAGGAACTACTGCTTACTAAAATACAATATGAGGACATATGAATATTACTGTTATATAGAACCTTATTTTATATTTTATCTTCAGAGTAAAAACTCATTACTTCGAATTGACAGTTATCTAAAATGTACAATAAATCAATCATTTTAGTTTGAAGTTTGTTTTATTTGTTTTAAAACATCAATGGCAAATAAAATTTAGAATATTTGATTAATTTACTTGCAGTGTTTAAAGAAAAAAAAAGTCAGAGTCCTGCTTATGGAATTAATACCCATTACAATGGAATCACAGTCATTTATCAAAGTAAATATAATAGGATTTTGATTCTCCAATAATTGAGTTTGTTATTTTATATACTTGGGGTGAATGCAACGTTTCCTCAAGTTAATGTGCAAAGATTCGAAACTGGATATTCTAGGTGTTCCTCCTTTCTGCTTAATTGGGTGTTCTTTTTTTCTACTAACTACTCATTCAAACTGTCTTTCCTGAGTCAAATGGCTGTTAAAATCCGTGGAATGGCTGGGTGGTAAAGAAGCCTTCACTTCTCCCACTTTCACGGGGCAAGTGCCCAAGATGACCAAAGGAGCGTTGGCTAGATTGTTAATCATTGAAATCTGTAGAGAGCTTGGCCCTAAAGGTTACTGGAAGCCCAGTGGAAGAGCAACATGTTTGTGGGCCTGGTTTTCATTGGTTTCCAAATAGGAAGTGACGTTTAAAAGCAAACAAACAAACAAAAAATTGAATCATTCTCAGACTTCTTCCATGTACCCAGGTCTGGGAGAGAATGACCGGTACTTTACAAGAACTTCTTCACTACTAGTTGACCACCAATATTTGCGTCACTTTTATTACTTTGGTACTCTGCAACTAGCCCTGAGTTCCATTGAGCAGAAAAAACAAAATTAAACCAAAAACATTTTAAAAAGTCTGGTAGCCTGAGAGAGGATTGGTGAGAACAAAACGCGTACCAAATAAAATGGAACTTATCAATGATATAGACAATAATTCAAACAGAAATATAGAGTACTCAAGAAGATTCAAGTACTTCTCAAGAAGTCTTTTCAGAGCTAAAACAAACAACAAACAAAATTCACCCCTCCCCACTCCAAAGTATAATTTTCTCACAAAAGTATTTATCAGAAGAATTGAATCAGTTGACAGTTTTTGGTAAGGTGACAGACTCATATGTGTTCCATAAAATCGTGCCCTTTGTCCTGGGCATGTAAGGAGATTATATTCTCCAGGTCTTTTTGCACTTATGAGTGCCCATGTGGTTGAATTCTTGCTAATGGAATGTGAGTAGAGGCCATGTGCACCAATTCCAAAACTGACATATAAACTTCCGATGGTGATCCTCCACTTTCTCCTCATTTGTTTTCTGGGCGTAAATGCCCAAAATGACATGGGAAACCCTGTGTTGAAGATGATGAATCTCCATCAGGCTAGGTTCACTGAGCAGAGCTGACTTCCCTAACATACCACTTAGACTTTATGTGGTCAAGAAATATATTGCAATTGTGTTAAGCAACTAAATTTATCTGTTATGCCTCAAGTGTACCTTAATGAATATAGTGAGCTGACAATTAGTGTCTTGGAAAATTAAAGGAAATAAATATTTCAATGTGTACATTATAAAAATAGATTTAAGGACATTACAAGACATTTGGAAGTAACTAATTTGTGAACAAATGGAGCTTTAGAAGAAGAATAAAGGACAGATAAGAAAAATGGTTAAACCAATAGTCAAAAGTTTCCAAGATGAAGAGAGACCCAACAGAAATTAATAATGGTCAAGTAGAACTGTTGAAAAAATATATATATCTAAGAATTTTATAGAAAAACATTTAAAGATCCATATAAGCATTCATTCAAAAGAAAAAAAAAGGAAAAAAATTTTACAAAGGAAAGAAAATCTGACTCCTTTTGGAATTCTCATCTTTAAAATTAAGTATAGAAGAGAGTAGAATAACATTTTGGAGAGAAAAAGACTTTAAGCCAGGAATTCTATGTCCATTTATAAAAGGTATTCATCTTTTAATGTATAAGATATTTATAATATGTAAACCATGAAATATATGCTGTATTAGAAGAAAGTAATTGAGAAAACACTGTTTTCAACAGATAAACAGAAGAGAGAGCCTGAAATAGACATGGGGGAGAAGACATGTAGTCATATAGCTAGATCTATATGGATAAAATCCTACTGATTTGGACTGTTAGTGTAAGTGTTAATTGCACAGTCTTGAAACTGAAGGGCCACAGGGGGACTGAATATTAGCCCACAACCAAAAGTACTACATTATCTGAGTAAAACCTGAGAGTTCACAGTAAACAAAAGAGGAGAAAATTAAAAGCATTTTAACAGTTTTACCTGGGGCATGTAGAAGAGGAAAAAACTAAACAGTTCATTGTTGTGTTGTGTGCGCGTGTGTGCACACGCACGTGTGTTTCTGAGTTAGGGTGAGGAATCAGGAAGTAGGATGGAATTAGAGCACCTTGGTTGAGAAAAGACTTGCCACCTGAGTTTTAATAGTAGTAGAGAGATAAGAAAGATATGTCTTACTAAGAGTCTTAGTAACTATTAAAAAGTAGGAAAATATAGAACATACCCATTAATGTGAATAAAAAAGTAAAATGAATCATGACAATCTAACTAGCAAAATAAGGAAAAGGTGAAAAAGGAAAGAGAATGTAAAATGCAGGCAGTTCTATAACTCAGCATATTCATTGCTAAAAGTGACTGCCTTCTGCAAAATCATATAATTAAAAAAAAATACAGGCTAATTGGAAAAATGGGGTAAGGATTACAAAACTCAAAACACTGGTCACTGGAACCTAATAAAAATGGTGAGATAATTTTATACATGTTAAATTGTTTAAAAATACATAAATATCATAAATATGGCATATTATATTGAAAAAGACTACAGTGCTTGTGAAAGTAGGAGCTAGAAGGGTTGAAACTTGTGTTATTGTGAGTTGTGAAAGGAGGGTTATCAAAATTTGCAATCTCTTGCATCCTCAAATCCTGGTTTTTTTTTTTTTTTTTGCTTTTGAGGTGTTGGTCCTTCAGGTGCATGTTTATAATAAACACTTGTTTCATCGATATTTAAAATTTGATCCAATGCCTTACCTTCCACTTTAATTAACTTCGGTATCACTGCTGGAAATTCTCTGTGGCTTTCTCATTTGTACAGCTTTACCAACAGTTGAAGGCTTCGGTAACTGTAATGTTTGGAACCACAAAACCTGGTCGCTAATAGCACTCATGAGAGCCAATTCTGCAGTGTTTGGTGACTGAGGTCTTTGTATATAAATGGTGCTTTCTCTTTGATTATGAATAAGATTATATCCAATTGTTGCACTATTTGGTCTTTAATTCATATGCTCAACAATATTTCAGTATCTTTTTTTTTTTTAGCTCTGGTTCTTATTTTGACTTTCACAGCACTTGAAGCTGTTTCAGACATTGACATTTATTTTTGCAGAGTTGTCTCTGATGGTTCAGAGTGTGGATTTCCTTATGCTTGCTCTTAAGATACACATGTATTCTCTCATTTCTTTCAAGATTTTATTTCAAGATTTTCCCCAATACTTAAAGCTTTTCTTTTACATGCACTACTTATGGTTTTTGAATGTGGGTGCTTAGACAAGTTTGAGAGGTTAAAAGAGTGGGTTTTTAAATATAGAAATGTTCATAAATTCAAGACTAGAAAAACAGAACCATGTAGGATAAACATGCTGTGAACTGAGGATGTCTCAAGTGTGATACTGGTGTGTTTTGTTTTGTGTTTGAATTATGATGTGGCTCAGGTTAGTCAGTACAGTTTTCTGTCTTTACTTAGAGTTTTTAAGGATATTTATGAAATGATTCATAAGCAAATGTGAAATTTATTTCACATCTAAATCGTTCCTTAATATTTCAATCATGTTAGAACAAATTAGTGTTTTAAAATAAGCACAATAAGAGAACTGACTATATATGATAAAAAAAGGTAATATAAGGTAAGGAACAAAATGTTATATCTGTCATTACATTAAAAGTTAATTGACTGGAATCTTTGTTTAGAAGATAGAAACCATCAAATTGAAGTAAAGAGCATAGCTATGTACTGACTTTATAGAAAATGTTATAATAAAGAGATGAGCAGAGGAATATCAGGTATATTCAAACAAAATAAAGCAAAAGTGGAATTATAATTATCAGAAAAGCTGAAATTTAAGAATAATGGTACTAATCAGGATAAAGACATATAATTAGATTACTATTTATGACAGAGATATAATAATTATTAAATTTTATGTACCAAACATAGCAACTAAATATATAAACAAAAATATATTATAAAATAAATTAAAATATAATGATTTATATTTATAATGAAACTTTAGGATAACACTTTCAATTGTCAGTAGGTCTGATAGAGAAAAAAGTTGTTTTGAATAAAAATATATATACACACACATATGTATACATGTATAAGACCATAAATACAACAATTTACATCCCTTAAATAGAGAAAATATTACAGATCAATCTTACATTTTAATACATAGGTTAAAAAATATTAGAAAACTTACAATTTATCAAAGAATACACTCTAATATAGGTTTTATTTTAGAATTAAGTGGCGATTCATTACTAGGAAATCTGCCACCACAATTTAATGCATTTTTTTAATATAAAACAAACTTAAAGAGAATAAACATATAACAATAGATGACATAAACAGTGTTTTTAAAATTTATCAGGGACCATCACCCGCCTGACGCTCAGGGCTGCGGGGCGGCGAGCAGCAGCGGGGCCAGGTCCATGGTGAGGGCGAGGCGGCGGCCCTGCCAGCGCACGTGCGAGGGCAGCGCATTCGCGCCAGGCGCGTATTCGAAGCAGGCGCTGAGCTCGAAGGCCAGGGCCGAGCGCACCAGGCCTACGCCGCCGGCGCGCTCTGGCGCGGGGTGATAGAGGCGCCCGTTGGTGGCCAGGGGCAGCAGACGAGCCGGCTCGAAGGGCACGGCCAAGGCCTCGCCGCCGCCGCAGTAGGAGAGGCGCGGAGGCCCGGGGCCGGCAGCCAGCAGATGCGTGAAGACCACAGGCCGGTCATCGCAGCGCAGGAAGTTGCGCTCTCTGCCGCAGAGAGAGAGGAAGGGGAAGGAGGCCTCGTAGCGGCCGCTGCGGTTTGGTCTCAGTCGGGAGAAGAAGGTGACGAGGAACTGCGGGTCTAGGGGATCGAAGGGCACAGGTTGCTCATCGTGCCAGGAACCCAAGGTTCCCAGGCAAATGGCTCGTCCTGGGTCACGCCAAGGGCCGGCGCCAGCTGTTGGAGGGCCGTCCCGATTTCAGTTTGGAGAGCGGGGCTCTTGACCTCAGGAAGCCCATTTCCCCGCTGCGGCGGGGTTGAGGAGCGGGGCCCTCCAGAGCCTTCCTGGAAGGGGTAAGGAATGTGGGGGAGGAGGGCGCAGCAGTACCTTTGAAACAGGTGATGAAATTCTTCATTTTGGAGTCATCCAGGAAAAGCTGCAGACAGAGGGACAGGCCGTGGCCCATGAGTCCCGGTGGGAAGACCTCCCCAAGGCAGGGACCTCTAGGCGGATCTGAGACTGCTTTCCTTGCTTGTCTGTGCACACCGTGCACAGAGAAGCATATACCGAGCAAAGAGAGGCATTTAGGTCAACTTGGGGGCACTGCCAACTTACCCGTGTCTACCCTGAACCTGGGCCGTGCTTCCTGGCACACGGGTTCACTGAAGTGGCATGCCTTTCCTGCCTCCTTTCAGTTTTCTAGTCTGCTGTGACACCTCCTCCGTGGAGGCTTCCTCGGAGTTATGGTGGTTGCTCCTGCCAGGGTTTCCAAAGCAGGCGGGGCTGGTGGCGGATGAGTAGGGAAGGAACTGGGGATGCAGAGCGCTCTGGGCGCCGCCATGTGTGGAAAGTTGGCAGCTGGGGACCAGCCGTCTTGAGCTGGGACTGGACGGCCCAGTCACTCCAGCGCGCTGCCCTAGCTCAGCAGAGTTGGGTTCACTTACCTTAGAGACACTGCCCACCCTTCCCGCCCGCCCCCTCCTGCAGGGGCCCTCCGCGGCCCCGTCCCTGGCCCACCTGGCCTTGATGATCCACGTAGTAAAAGTACTCGCGCGTGCGGGGCTCTGGGCTCTGGCCCTGAGTGTAGGAGATGCCCCTGCCCCCACCGCAGGCCCGGGCCTTGGGGGTCCGCGCCAAGGGCAGGGCCCAAGCCCAGAGCGCCCCGCACGCCGGCCACATCCTTGTCCTGAGCCGGAAGCGGCCAGTGGTCATGTGGTGGCGCCGCAGCACGAATACGCGTCCTCCCGCGGTTGAGGCCTTGTATTTTGGGTTCCGGCGACAGCTGCTGACCTCGACCAGCCTGGCCGCCCTTTCCCCGCATCCCGGACGGCTGGGTTGTTCTTCCTTTTCTGGGCTTGTGAGAGCAGCCCACCCTGCTTTCGGGCTGAGGACAGCGTGGCGGGCAGGGCCGCCTGACGGCAGGTGAGAAACGGGGCTGCAAGCGGGTTCATGAACTGAGAGACAGGCAGGCTAGGGACAGGGCGCTGGCGTGTGGGCTTTGTGCTTCTCTCCGAGGCTGGCCACGGGCACGTGGTCGAGGTACCCGAGGTACCCGAGGTACCCGCACTGGCCTGTCTCCCCCGCCCTCGGAGAAACCAGTTTGTCGGGACTGAGTCTGCTCGTCCAACTAGGTGCTGAATAGAGGTGAAGAAACAAACAGAATTTATCAGGGATTTCTAATAAAACTTCTAGAAATAAAATCCCATTGAAATTAAAAAATATATATATATCTACCATAATGCCATTTACCCATTTCCTTCCGAAATGAACTACTAAAAATTCCTTAAAAATCTCATCTGATCTTGGAAGCTAAGCAGGGTCGGGCCTGGTTAGTACTTGGATGGGAGACTACCTAGGAAGACCAGGTGCTGTAGGCATAAAAAAATTAAAAAAAAATAAAGGATTGTAAGCTGACAAGGTCTTTGTAATCTGAGAGGTCAACCAAGGGTTGCCTTGCCAAAAAAAAAAAAAAAATCCTTAAAAATCATTGAGGGCATTTGTTTCCAAATGAAAAACATGAACAAAGGATATGAACTGGCAATTCATAGGATAGCAAATCCAAAAGGTCAACAAATACATGAAATGATGTTCAGGAAGATAAAACTTGCTAGTGGATCTATGAATTATTACCTTGGGTAAGAAATCTAGTAACAGCATTATAATTAAAAAAAAAAAAAAAAAATAGCACATATACTCTAAATATCCAGTGATTCCATCCTGAGTATTTAGGCCATAGAGTTAAAAAGATCAATATGTAAGTATAAATATATAAGATGTTTAATTAAGCATCATTCATTAATATCAAAAAAAGGAAGGAAAATGAATATAAGTTGCAATGGTTGAATTACGGTGTCTTCATATAATGAATGATTTTGCAGCTATTAAAAATGAATTAGAGCTATAACAAGATTTCCAAAAGTTTCTTGAGGTATTATTGGGTGAAAAGGAAAAGCATAAAAACATAATAAGATTTTGTTTTTTTTTGGAAGCAAATAATGAAAAAAATCTATATATTTATGTATATATATGAAAAATGTGGTAGAATAAGTATTATCTTTTTAACAATATTCTTGGAGAGGAAAGGTAGAAAAATGTTTTGAAAGGGGAAGTGAGGAAAGGTGGTATCAAGAATAAAGAAAAAGAAAAACAAACAAGTGATAACAGATTATAAAAGAAAAAATATCCAGGATATGATCACATTTCTGCATTTATATAAATTAGTATTCTGCTAGACATGCTTTCTAGAAGGAGAAATAGTTTGATATTTTACCATTAATAGACTTAATTATAAATGCAAGAAAAGCCCCAATAATGGATAACCTCACTCTCTGAGAATATCAGCCTCCAAAAATGTGAAATTACATGGAAAAATTTGGGTTTAAGAAGAGTGTGCTACATCTAGGCCATAATTGCATCCTTCAGAGCAGAGAGGGCACTGGCAAGATGCTGGCCTGAACTTGCCTCAGGAACAGTAGTGATGGCTTGAGGTTTCTCCAAGAGGGAGAAACCCTTCCCATTTCAAAAGGAACCAGCAGGATTATATTTACAGGAGAGTCTCATTACTCTGCCTTGTCTTCTCTGTTGATAGCAGGAGCCAATTCTGTGGAAGGTTATGGCAGATGGCAGGTGTACAGGGATATGAACAGATTCGTGCCTTGCGGTTTTCCTATGTTTAAAAAACATTCTGATACCTGGGTCCCAGTTGCAGAGATTCCGATTCTGCAGAGAGGGGCTAGGTTTTTGAAATATATGTGTGTGTGTGTGTATATATAT